GCCTTCACCCCTCCTGTTTTAAATTACGGGGTACTCCCAACCCATTATGCTCCTCGTATCATACTCTCGTGTGATGCCCATCGATCTATCAGTCTGTCTTACTCACTGCACTAGACTACCTGGTCTGTTCTTACAGACTTACATGACAGCGTTTCATTTCGATCATTCTTACTTCTCCTTCCTATTCACCCCCCACCTTTCGTAGCCCTCGCTTGGCAGTTTGATGGGGCAAATAGGGATCTTTTCTCTCACCCACATGCTTTTAGTGTGGTTCCTTCTTCATCCTCATTGTCTCCGCTCGCTCCACACATCTTCTCGATCAGGTTTATACCGAGCTTCTTCATTCTATACACAAAAACTCAGGCTGGCATTCTCAGAAGTGAGTGCTTGGTGGTCTCCTGTTGTGCTCGTGCAGTACGTTTTGAAACGTTGTGCTGCATGGGGCAGGTACGGTACCAATAGAACCGAGAGAGGACACTTGTTGATTTAGCCAGAAGGTGCGACTACGCTCGCCGGGTCATCCGTGAAGCTAAACGCACTTGTTGGGAGACTGTTTCCACCATCACCTCTGCTTCTTTATGAGTGCAGTGATGAAAAGTGAGGAAATTGAGTGAAGTAATACTCAACCTGAACCGGCTTACTGTTTAAGGGGTTCACAGGTGTTGATTTTAGCAAACCCTCTCGACTTTGCCATAGAATTGGAACATCTGGTCGTATTTCCGAGGGCTCCACTTGCCCATCGTTTTTTCCTCAAAGTCTTCCAGAGCCCGCTTTGTTAACATCCCATCCCGCGCTTTTTTACTCGGAGAAGACAAGAAACAGTATAATGTGCCTTTTACACTTCAAGAACTGGAGGCAACGTCTCAGCTTGCGTCATCTGCAGCTGGGCCTGATGACATTCATATTCGTTGTTACAACATCTTAATCGGGTCAGACCTTGTAGTCCTTTACACCTCTTCAATTTATTTGGCACAAGGAGTTCTTCCCACTGTGGAAATAATGCCATTGTTCTCCCTTTCCGCAAACCGGGGTACTTCATGACATGATGCCTACCACATCGCCACATCGCTCTTACAAGTGCAGTTTGCAAAGTGATGGAAAGCCTCGTAAAATCGACGTTTAATGTGGTATTTAGAGACTCACAACCGTCTCTCCGCTCTTGGATCCAATATGGCTTTCGTGAGGTCGTTTTACCATGACCCTTACTACGTTGGTGGATACGTTTGTTCGTAATGCCTTTAGCGCCACAATCACTCAGTTGTTGCATATTTTTTGACTTGAGAAGACTATGACACAACTTCGGAGGTATAATATTTTGGCCAGGCCATTTAGGCCTCCGAGGCAATCTACATCCTTCCTTAAGAATTTTTAACTGACAGACAATTCCGTGTTGAGTCATTATGTTCTGTCCCCGGACTTCGTCCAGCTGAAGGTGTCCCTAGGGATGTGTTCTAAGCACAACACTTTTTCTCCTTGCTTATCAATGATTGGCCTCTGTTCTTCCACCCAATATTTGGTCATCATCTATGTTGATGATTCGCTGTTGCTTGTGCAGTGCGTGCTGACTGTCACCTTATTGCAGTTTCTTCCAGCATGCGGCCGCACTGACGTTGTTTCCTTGGGCCACACTACATGGGTTTAAATTTTCAGTACCCAAACTCACCTAATTTACTTTCACTTAGACGCTTGTTATCTCCGATCTTCCTTGTATCTCGATGGCTCCAGATATTCCAGAACGTGATCAGTCAGGTTTCTAGGCCCTTCTCTTGACCGCTCGGTTAAACTGGATGGGAAACCTACATTACCTCTCTGAAGGCTTAATGTCCAGGCGGCTAAACCTTCTAAAACCCTTGTTCATCATTCCTGGGAGTGAGCGTCGAACTCTGCTTCGCCTACATTCAGCCCTCGTTTTATCGAAACTGATTATGGTGACCAGATTTTATTCCGCGGCCTCTCCTGTACTTCTTAGCCTTAAAACTCTATCCATCAAAAGGCTTAGTTTTGTCGCCTTGGTGCTATTTCGCTCTTCCCTGTTGAGAGCCGTATACAGATGCAAATGTTCTCTTGTCTGATCGCGTGATTGCCATTGCCTTCGTTATATGTACGCTCTCACGATCTACACAATCCTTCCATTTATAAGAATGCGTCACCGCATATTAGTAAGTAGAATTCTTTATTCCGTTCGCCGCCCCTGTTTTGCTCCGTCCTCTTTTCTCCTTCGCCTAAATTCTCTCTTGTCTTACCTTCGGTTAACCTTTATATGTATTTGTAGCATCTCTCTTTTCCCTGCCCCCTGCGGCAAGTTTCCAGCTGTTTCGGGTCTCGTCTTTCTACTCCCTTGCTCGAAAGCTCAATGCTACGCGTGCTTCCCGCTCTATTTTCTTGATCACTTTCACTCCCATTCTCATGCCACCGCTGTGTACAAGATGGCTCTAAGTCTTCAGACGGACGTCGGATTCGCAGAGCAGTGTTTGGAACAGGTCGTACGAGGGCATTTTACATATCTTCAGCTTTGAATTTTTACTGCTGAAATGTATGCCATTCTTGGCAGGCAACTAATTAGTATGCATCTATGCCTGTGTTCATTATTTGTAGTAGTCCCTCAGACTCCTTAGTGCTCTACAGGCTATACGAAAATTTGATTACAATCTCATCCCCTAGTTCTCCGTATCCAAACTTTGGCTACGCCTATTCTACCAAACATAAAGTTAGTGTTTTTGTTGGGTCCCTGGTCATGTGACGTTAAGGGCGCACTCTGCGCTCTCATCGCGCACTCGCTCAACTGCTGCCGCGGTCAGCAGTTATATGACCTACAAATTCCTATCGAGGTGTTCCATTTTGGAAATATTTTGCTGCAATAGCACCCGCTTCGAAATCACGTGGCAACCAACGTTGGTCAAACTCTGTCGGTAACAAACTTCATTCTATTAAACGAGAGACATCATAGGTTAATAGGCCGTCTTCTAGTCATCAGTGTCGAAGTTGGGAGACACTCTCTCACCGCTTCGCATTGGCCAACTCGTCTTACTCATGGGTATTCTCATGGAGAGGCACCTGGTCCTCTCTGTGAGCAGTGGTCAAGTCGAGTCCTGTATCGATTAGCCACATTTGTTAGATGCCCTCTCTATCAACGAGCACGCAGATTTCCTCCCCAACGTGGTCTTCGTTCTACTACTCTCTCTTTACCTTCCTTCGTGCTGATGGACCTCCTTTATTCCTGACTCTCTCATTGACTTCTTGACAACGATGATTATACTCACAAACTCTGAAGTTATACCTTTCGCACTCCCCTCAAGCCCTTATCTGGTTCAAGTCGCTTGTCTGCCTTTACCCTTATCACCATCCACACTGCCACGCTGTTAATCGGAAACCTGTTGCTAATCCATCTCCCTTTTGCCACCTGATGCCCTCCTCCTTCCTGCTGCAGCGCTGTATAGTCTTGTGCTTAGCGCTTCTTTTTGATTTAACTAATCATAATAATCTCCTGAATAAGCCTCTTCCACATTTTATGTATTACTTTATTTCTTGGTTATTACTTTTTCATGTGCGTTGATTTTTAGTTTATGTTTGGTAGATGTGTTGTCAAGTTCTATATCGTTGTACAGTTTGGTAAGGAATTTTTCTAACTTTTTAGTGCTTTAAATTTTGAGGAGTCAAGAGGGCTAAAGGAGGGTTTAAAAAATGTATGGGCCTTGAACCATGGAGTGGCTCTCACTAAGTGGTGTTTATGACAACGAGCTAAGGGAGTGTTGAGTGATGTAACATTTTTGATAGGATTAAGGGAGACCTGTTGCTTAGACTCAAGGCATAGAGGTGGGAAATGTTGCATGTCCTGCACTCTGAAGGAAGGTGTGGGGATGTTGCAACTTTTGAGGGCCATTGCAACTAAGGTGTTTCAGGTTATTTTATTTAGTATTTTTTTTCATTGTCGGGTTGTCCAGCCAGATTATGTCTTAAAGAAGTTTTACACTTCTCCCAAAAATATAGCTTGTCTTGTTATTGACAATACAGTTATTTTAGAATTAAATGTGGTTTTATCATTATTTTTTAGACGAGGTTTGTACATAAAAATTGAGATAATTATAGTATCTGTAGATGCAAGGATGCAGTAAGTATTATGCAAAACATAGCAGTTTTGTTGTCATAACGATTCTTTCCACGACTGATACTTGACTGAAAGAATATAAGAACTTAAACTGTATTTTTAAGTATATATATTGTACAAAATATTGCTTAGAAATTAAGGTGATAAAACGTTGATAATGACGATAATCAAATTGTTGAGATGCACGTGATAAAGTGGACCAGTATCATGCAGTTTTAGGTCATCAGTGAGGGTGAGTCATCAAGTTGTCACTTCTTCTGTAGACGGCGCAGCAGAGGCCGGGTGAGGATGCTCTCAGCAAGCTCTTACTTCATGAGCTGGCAGAGTGGGTGTGGTTGAGATAAAAGTTGAACAGTAGGATCCCTAAGTGAGGGTAGTGCACTTGCAGATAATTATCAATGGTTTTAACCTTCCTTACCTTTAACCTGAGGCTGTTACTAAATGTTATGTGTAGAGCTACTGGTAGCTAGTATTCACTTTGGAATACTGTACATGCCTCTCTCAAACTTGAGGATGGGTAACAATATATTACTGTATTAGCTAACCTGGGGAGTACTCTCCAGCCTCAACTTGGATTCTTCCCCTACTCAATGATCAACTCTTGTGTGCTCCACATGATTAATGCAACATCTGTAACACATATCACGTTGGGATTTAAAAGGGAATGCTTGTCGTCCCCCAGGGTTGCGAGTACCTATTTCACATCAAAATATTTTCAAGAAGCCTTTGTTACCACCAAGACGAGAGAACTGGCCACATTTATGTGGCTTGGTTAAAATACTTAGTGGCAGCCTATATCAATAGGTGTAAACAAAGGTCCTTGAGAAAGGTAATTGTGCATCCTGTATATGGGTGAGGTAGTAATGTGGGCGGTGTGTGGTTGGTGGTCCCGCAGGTGGTCTACAGGTGTATCCCCCTCCCACGACCCCCCCTGAGCCGGCTCCCCCTGACCGTGAGTGTGTGGAGGGTCCCCCACGCCGCTTGGTGAAGGCCACCACACTCCCCACGCCCACTCTGCACTCTGCAACATCTCGCACCTCCCTCGATGACCTCACATGTAACGTACACTATAGTGCGTTCACCACAGATAATTTGTTCATTCTATAAGTAGACTCACAGCCAATCAGCACCCAAGATTGGAAGTCAGTGCACTATACATTAGCTATAGTGTGGGGTCACTTTATGCTTGCAATATTTACTTAGTCTGATGAATATTTTTTTGTAAATTACTGTTCATTACCAAGTTCCTTAAAACTTTTTAAGTTATAGGCCCAAATATATGTAAATAGTTTAGCAAGGGCCTGTAGAGTACATTTATAGAAGTTTTGTTGGGTGTGTATGCCACCTTTCCATTTGGGTGCTTGCCAGTGTTGTGAAGTAGGATTTATTGATTTATTCAGATCTGTTAGTAAATGCATTTTGTTAATTTTTAGTATCCATCTGATACACAAACCATAAATGAAGTAGCTAGTTTTTTTAACTTTGTTTTATTCATTCCTAAGATTTAATTAAAATGATTTAGTAATTGTAGGGGATTATTAGACATTATATAGAGTGAAGCTGCAGTTGTTGCAGGGAGATGTTTGCAGGAGGTTCCAACTTACAAACACTGAAGTTACAAGCATTGCAGTTAAAACTGGGGAGCTTAGGAACCAATTAAATTTTTACATCCGCTTTGCCGTAATACAAGTGTGTGAAACAGCCAGCCTTTGCTCTATTCTATCACCAAATAACTTTATAATTTGAAAAATAAAAAATCAGGACTGCAACTGGTGAGTTTGGGACCTCCAGTATATAATAGTCATAAGACAGTGTGTAAAATCTTGGAACATTTATGTCTGTCAAGTAAACCTTTTAAACAAGAACGCAGCTGGAGCTTCATGGGATTTAAAATCGTAATCTGTGTTGTGCGGCATTTGTTTAAAAATGAATACTTAAGAAATTGGTAAGTGGTTTGATGGAGTATATACATACTATGATGCAGTGAGAAAGAAGACTGGACAGCTTAACTAGTCACGATTTTTTAGTTTTGCATTTTGATGTGTGCAGTACATATTTTTGACATTGTTTAGTAGTGTTCCTTTTACATCATGCCAATTTCTTTAACAATAACCATCTCTCAAATATACTGGTAATCACCGAACAAAATATTGACAGTTTGTGTAGTCGTGATTTCAATACCTAAAGTTGAGTGTGTCCATAGATATTTACTTGATCTGATGTCACACTAACAGTGTATCATCACCATTAACATGATGAAACACTGTACTGTAGTTCAGTACTGAAGCTTAGTCACTTTGATGGTATATAATTTTCCTGCCAGGAGATAAAGGAGAATTTTGTCACACATGTGATGTGTATATCTTATGGGGACTGAAATACTGAAATTGTTTTTGTTTGCCATATAAAAAGGTGAAATAAAATAATGTTAATTTAGAATAGCTCTTGGGAATAAAATATAACCAAATTTGTATTCTGGGTAATATATAGTTCAATTAGCATGGTGTATATTATCACAGTAAACTAAACTATGTACAGTGTACAGATTATGTGCAGCTGAACCTTATAGCTGCATGCTTAATCAAAAGATAAGATTTAAATTTGAAATTTATTAGGTATTTTGTCATAAACTAAAGAACGTAACTTAAATGCAAAGTTATTAATTGCACCAATGCACTTTAGTAAAATTCTTTTATAAGCAGTATATAAAAAGATGAAAACTATATAAACATTGTTAAATTTGTGAAATGCATGAGTTGAGCCTTAAATTGTTGATGCTTGATTCCCACTAGTACTGATGTGGTCCCTGGTGATGTGTGTTTGTCCCACTAGTACTGATGTGGTCCCTGGTGATGTGTGGTTGTTCCACTAGTACTGATGTGCTCCCTGGTGATGTGTGGTTGTTCCCCTAGTACTGATGTGGTTACTGGTGGTATGTGTTCCACTAGTACTTACTAATGATGTCCCTGGTGATGTGTGGTTTTCACTAGTACTGACTGATGATCCTGGTGATGTTTGGTTGTTTCACTAGTACTGACTGATGATCCTGGTGATGTTTGGTTGTTCTACTAGTATTGACCATCACTGATGTGGTTGTTGGGTTGTCATAGTACTGTACTGTGCTTCAGTGTATTAGGGTATGTTCACTGTACATGGGAATAAAGCTACACATTTGTAATATTGTTACTGAACAAAGTATGGTGTCATTGATTATTAATTACATTTTGAAAGTATATTGGAAAATTGGCATTAACACTTAGTTATGAGGTGTGCCTCATGTACAAATGAGGGAAACTCATCTTGCATCTCTATATCTCTTATTGTGATAACCCAAATTTAGTTTATTGTGGTAGTATAGTTTGTGTGGCAGATACACTTAATGCAGTGAAATCTTGATGGATACAATGTTTCTCTTAGAAGCGAGCTTTATCATGTGTGTAGTGCAATTACAATATTACAGCTTGTATAGGGGGTCTGGGGTGGGTGGTCAGGTGGAAATAAGCTGACTTGTGCACTGCAGAAGGTTTACTGGGCTGTGTTAGCTTCCTTTGTTCCAAGATGGTGTACTAGGGGAGTTGCTGATTTCAGCAGATAGTATCACAATTTTGTTTTGTGGTGTTTGATTGTAGATGACTCCAACAACAATGTTGATGTTGGACATGCATAATATGGGGTTGTGTGTGTTGACTGGTGCAAGTTAGTAATGTATATCTTCATTCAATGTTGTTTATATTTCTGGCATAGGTGTATTATGTCCCATCTACATTTGCAGTGAAATATGTGGGGAGAGAATTTAAGGTTAGAGAACGTGTTACTTGTGTAATCTTCTTATCTTTAAGTAGGTCATCACTGCAAATCTTTAGTGACCACAGGAGAAAAGCAAATTAGCACTCCTTCTTGGTTTCCAAATTATGATGGGATTAGAGGTGAGTATTAGGGTCTTATCTGTAGGTTTTTGTTATACATTATGCTTCATTTGATCCCCTTATGGGTCATTAACCTCCTCCAAGGTGAATTGTATAGAAGGCTCTACTTGGTTTATCTGATCTCTGAAATGTAAGTTGAAGTGCCTGGGAACGATGCCTAAGGTATCGCCAACATTCCTCGTTCAAGTGATGTGAGGTGTGTTGACAATCTTTAGTGCTTCGTCTTACAACACTTCAGCTAAACAAGGTAGAGCTTTCATATATAATTCTTTGGAGAAGGAAGTTATTGACACACTGCATTTCTTGGATGTATGGCTCACCAAACAAGGGAGGCCAACTGAATCATACTGTTATAACATAAACCTGTACATAAAGATTACCTAACTCAAATTTCCATCATGACTTGAAAACTAGGAAAGGAGTGTGAATTTCCTTTCTTCTGTGGTCACTAAAGTTCTACAGCAATGACTTGCTTGAAGATGAGCAGGATTACATATACTTAAAACACTTTCTTCAATCTAAAATTCTCTTGCCACATGATCTCTTACAGCATATATAAAATGGACATGATATACAATGCCAGGAACTGAACCAACACTGAAAGATGCTCTATATATTACCTACAGGCACCACAGTCAACAGAGTGGCCCCTATACTGTACAAATCCAAAATTTATAATTTTGTTGTGGTTACCACCAAATAATCCAAAACATCACCATAAACATTAGCAAATGATGCAGGAGCCTACAGTGTCTCCTGTAATGAATGTTATCAGTGTTACACTAGAGAAATTACCTGTAGTTTGATAATATGACTACAGGAATGCAAGTAAAATGGACATAACACTTGCATTCATCTTTGTCATTCTCACTTCTAAATCATGGAGTGAGACTGAACCAGGCTACTGTTTGAAGAAAATAATGTTGAGCATAAGTGTTTGTAGTCAACTGCAGTTAAACTAAAACCATAAAACAGAATTATGGTGTGTTTACATACCTGCCCATCACACACATCTTGAAACAAAAGAAACTTAACAAAGGCCAGTGCACAACTCTGCTTTTTTACACCTGACCACCAGCCCTGGATGCCCCATATAATTTGTAATTTTTCTTATTGTGTCGTGTACTTTGAAAAACCACTCCGAGTGAAATTTGCCAATCAAGATTTCACTTCATTGTTTATTTAACACTGGTTGGCATTCCACTTTTATTTAGTAAAAGTATAGTTTCTCCTAGTGTGAATAATGTCATCATACATCTTAACAATTCATATGCAGGAATCATAAGATTTATTTTTAATAATAATTATTTTTAATAATTTATTTCTTCTATTGTCCATGGGGAAGTGGAAAAGAATCTTTCCTCCGTAAGCCATGCGTATCGTATGAGGCGACTAAAGTGCCGGGAGCAATGGGCTAGTAACCCCTTCTCCTGTAGACATTTACTAAAAAAGAGAGGAAGAAAAACTTAATAAAACTGGGATGCTTGAATGTGCGTGGATGTAGTGCGGATGACAAGAAACAGATGATTGCTGATGTTATGAATGAAAAGAAGTTGGATGTCCTGGCCCTAAGCGAAACAAAGCTGAAGGGGGTAGGGGAGTTTCGGTGGGGGGAAATAAATGGGATCAAATCTGGAGTATCTGAGAGAGAGCAAAGGAAGGGGTAGCAGTAATGTTGAAGGATCAGTTTTGGAAGGAGAAAAGAGAATATGAATGTGTAAATTCAAGAATTATGTGGATTAAAGTAAAGGTTGGATGCGAAAAGTGGGTCATAATAAGCGTGTATGCACCTGGAGAAAGGAATGTAGAGGAGAGAGAGAGATTTTGGGAGATGTTAAGTGAATGTATAGGAGCCTTTGAACCAAGTGAGAGAGTAATTGTGGTAGGGGACCTGAATGCTAAAGTAGGAGAAACTTTTAGAGAGGTGTGGTAGGTAAGTTTGGGGTGCCAGGTGGGAAATGATAATGGGAGCCCTTTGATTGAACTTTGTATAGAATGGGGTTTAGTTATAGGTAATACATATTCTAAGAAAAAGAGGATAAATAAGTATACAAGATATGATGTAGGGCAAAATGACAGTAGTTTGTTGGATTATGTATTATAGTAGATAAAAGACTGTTGAGTAGACTTCAGGATGTACATGTTTATAGAGGGGCCACAGATATATCAGATCACTTTCTAGTTGTAGCTACACTGAGAGTAAAAGGAAGATGGGATACAAGGAGAATAGAAGCATCAGGGAAGAGAGAGGTGAAGGTTTATAAACTAAAAGAGGAGGCAGTTAGGGTAAGATATAAACAGCTATTGGAGGATAGATGGGCTAATGAGAGCATAGGCAATGGGGTCGAAGAGGTATGGGGTAGGTTTAAAAATGTAGTGTTAGTGTGTTCAGCAAAAGTTTATGGTTACAGGAAAGTGGGTGCGGGAGGGAAGAGGAGCGATTGGTGGAATGATGATGTAAAGAGAGTAGTAAGGGAGAAAAAGTTAGCATATGAGAAGTTTTTACAAAGTAGAAGTGATGCAAGGAGGGAAGAGTATATGGGGAAAAAGAGAGAGGTTAAGAGAGTGGTGAAGCAATGTAAAAAAGAGAGCAAATGAGAGAGTGGGTGAGATGTTATCAACAGATTTTGTTGAAAATAAGAAAAAGTTTTGGAGTGAGATTAACAAGTTAAGGAAGCCTAGAGAACAAATGGATTTATCAGTTAAAAATAGGAGAGGAGAGTTATTAAATGGAGAGTTAGAGGTATTGGGAAGATGGAGAGAATATTTTGAGGAATTGTTAAATGTTGATGAAGATAGGGAAGCTGTGATTTCGTGTATAGGGCAAGGAGGAATAACATCTTGTAGGAGTGCGGAAGAGCCAGTTGTGAGTGTGGGGGAAGTTCGTGAGGCAGTAGGTAAAATGAAAGGGGGTAAGGCAGCCGGGATTGATGGGATAAAGATAGAAATGTTAAAAGTAGGTGGGGATATAGTTTTGGAGTGGTTGGTGCAATTATTTAATAAATGTATGGAAGAGGGTAAGGTACCTAGGGATTGGCAGAGAGCATGCATAGTTCCTTTGTATAAAGGCAAAGGGGACAAAAGAGAGTGCAAAAATTATAGGGGGATAAGTCTGTTGAGTATACCTGGTAAAATGTATGGTAGAGTTATTATTGAAAGGATTAAGAGAAAGATGGAGAATAGGATAGCAGATGAACAAGGAGGCTTTAGGAAAGGTAGGGGGTGTGTGGACCAGGTGTTTACAGTGAAACATATAAGTGAACAGTATTTAGATAAGGCTAAAGAGGTCTTTGTGGCATTTATGGATTTGGAAAAGACGTATGACAGGGTGGATAGGGGGGCAATGTGGCAGATGTTGCAGGTGTATGGTATAGGAGGTAGGTTACTGAAAGCAGTGAAGAGTTTTTACGAGGATAGTGAGGCTCAAGTTAGAGTATGTAGGAAAGAGGGAAATTATTTCCCAGTAAAAGTAGGCCTTAGACAAGGATGTGTGATGTCACCATGGTGGTTTAATATATTTATGGATGGGGTTGTAAGAGAAGTAAATGCGAGGGTCTTGGCAAGAGGCGTGGAGTTAAAAGATAAAGAATCACACATAAAATGGGAGTTGTCACAGTTGCTCTTTGCTGATGACACTGTGCTCTTGGGAGATTCTGAAGAGAAGTTGCAGAGATTGGTGGATGAATTTGGTAGAGTATGCAAAAGAAGAAAATTAAAAGTGAATACAGGAAAGAGTAAGATTATGAGGATAACAAAAAGATTAGTTGATGAAAGATTCTATATCAGATTGGAGGGAGAGAGTATGGAGGAGGTGAATGTATTCAGATATTTGGGAGTGGACGTGTCAGCGGATGGGTCTATTAAAGATGAGGTGAATCATAGAATTGATGAGGGGAAAAGGGTGAGTGGTGCACTTAGGAGTCTGTGGAGACAAAGAGCTTTGTCCTTGGAGGCAAAGAGGGGAATGTATGAGAGTATAGTTTTACCAACGCTCTTATATGGGTGTGAAGCATGGGTGATGAATGTTGCAGCGAGGAGAAGGCTGGAGGCAGTGGAGATGTCATGTCTGAGGGCAATGTGTGGTGTGAATATAATGCAGAGAATTCGTAGTTTGGAAGTTAGGAGGAGGTGCGGGATTACCAAAACTGTTGTCCAGAGGGCTGAGGAAGGGTTGTTGAGGTGGTTTGGACATGTAGAGAGAATGGAGCGAAACAGAATGACTTCAAAAGAGTATCAGTCTGTAGTGGAAGGAAGGCGGGGTAGGGGTCGGCCTAGAAAGTTGGAAGGAGGGGGTAAAGAAGGTTTTGTGTGCGAGGGGCATGGACTTCCAGCAGGCATGCGTGAGCGTGTTTGATAGGAGTGAATGGAGACAAATGGTTTTTAATACTTGACGTGCTGTTGGAGTGTGAGCAAAGTAACATTTATGAAGGGGTTCAGGGAAACCGGCAGGCCGGACTTGAGTCCTGGAGATGGGAAGTACAGTGCCTGCACTCTGAAGGAGGGGTGTTAATGTTGCAGTTTAAAAACTGTAGTGTAAAGCACTCTTCTGGCAAGACAGTGATGGAGTGAATGATGGTGAAAGTTTTTCTTTTTCGGGCCACCCTGCCTTGGTGGGAATCGGCCACTGTGATAATATAATATAATATATTGACGTGTGAATAATGTCAGTTGTTTCTGACTACTCCATGACATGTTTTCCTTATGATGGAGGCTTCAATGATATTAAATTACAGTATATGCACAGTAATAATACTGTGAAATAAATGACATTCGGATGCTTTAAATCCCTTTATTAACAACAGCAATAAAGCTCTCACAGTGGGACTTATGAAGTCAGTAGAGAATACATTACACAGAGGAGTATGGATATACTGGTACAAAGGAAAGTGAGGTGGTGCGAAGGAATAATGCAGGGTGTATACCAGACATAATCTACATGTGTTAGCTCCCAGATGCCTAGATAACGTCCTATCATGGTGGAAGCTAAAGATAAGCTAACATAAAGCTTCTTTGGTTCTGTATGATAATGTTTAAGTGCTGTTAAGGACAGATTCTAAATACTGTATGGTCTTCATTGCATTCTTTGATAACTAGTTTAGCATCCATAAATTTCACAAGGTGATTGTCAGTGCTTAGATGTATAACATGTAAATTGTTTGTATTGTGCCTGCGGATGTTTCACCAATGCGACAGTATTCCGTGAAGCTTTCCTTATACAAAGTTTGTCATGTCCATTGCCAAGACTGACGTAGACTCCTGCTTTTTCTGCATTATGGGGGTTAGGTATAGGTTTAATAAGGCCCTTTATGGTAATGGAAGTGATGACTACATTTTGTTGCTTTTGTAATGCATGTGGGAGAGGCTAATGGGAACAATTCATGTGGGGAAAAATGAAGTACAGCCTCTCCTCACTTAGCAACATACTCGTTTACCGATGACTCGGACTTATGACAGGCTCTCTGACCAGTATGCATGCTTAAATAATGTATATTAGAGCTGATTTCCTCTATTCTGTTTATTACAATATACAGTACACTACTGTATAAACATTTAAAAATATACCAGGAATGTTATAAATGGTGCAAAGGCAACATTAAAACAATATCAAAGATGGTCGACACAAACCCATTACCATTATAGTATGCTCCTCACTTAGTGACAAATTCGTTTACTAACGTGGTCTTAGGAACGGAATTCCGTCGTTAAGCGAGGAGAGGCTGTTCTGTACATTTTTGGGGGGGGGGGGTAATCATTGAGACAAACAGTTGCCTCTCGAAATGGACAGATGCTAAATTAGTTATTGAAGAACAAGAATGAGATGAAAAATGATATTTAGAATCTGTCTTTATCAGCAATTCTAACAACATTACACAGAACGATCATACTAGCAAGTTATGCAGGCATCTTGGAGTCAACATAATGGTCTGCTGTATACCCTTCAGTGTTGTCTTGGCTCAGGATAACCCTATACACCTCACCTTCCTTCTTTGTACCTGTATACAGCATGGCCCTGAGTTACAAGACTCCAAGTTACAAGGTTTCACACTTACAGTGCTGGCATTTTGGAATTACTTAGTGTCTTATGAACAAGTGACTTGCACTTGCAATGATAGGGACTACCTAAGCTGGAGGAGGAATGGTTGTGGAAGGCATTTCTTTGGTTGGTGGCTGGAATTAAACATTCTACTGATGCTTTGTGCATCATGATTTCGAGGTACAAGAGTAGAAATAGTGATACCTATAGAAATATTTCATTTATGTGTATGTGATTAAAACATTTTGAGGGTAAGAGACTAGGTAAAAAGTCTTAAGAGAAAAATAAATAAATGAAGATTAGGGCTCTGAAATGCGTTAATCCATTTTATGTTGTTTCTTATGGGAAAATTGGTTCTTAATGTTGAACAGTTGATGTATGATGAATTTTCAGAAACACATTAACGTTGTAAATTGAAGGCCTGCTGTATATACTTGTTAAAACTCTTGTATTCTTTTCTGACTGAGTGAATCTCACTTGTGGGGAGAAATTGTTAATAAAGGTATCTTCATCTTGATGTCATTTACTGCACCTTGTCAGTACAGTAATTACATATCATTCAAATTTCAATTAATGATATTGTTTGAGAACAATGGTAGTGCCCTTTGTAGTTTTAACATCGTGGTTGCTTTCCTTTCCTTATTCCGTACAGTATTTTGAAGGTAAATTTTTTAACATTTTACAAAACTTGGCAGGTGGGACCATTTAAAGATGTCATATTTTATGTAGTGAATTGAAAGTAATTGTAGTATTGCATGGATAACGTGAAAAAATAATTCACAGTTTAGATGAAAATTTTATTTGATAGGATTTTGCTGGCCCAGATTTTGGGTAATCAGTATTTAAATAATTTTTCCCACTGTTTTTATGAATCATTTTAAATACCAGTTGCATTTTACTAACTGTATATAGAGATTAGCGTGACAAACTTTTTTTTTATTCTCTTTGGCCTTGAGTGAGAGAACGCTTTCTATAACTTGTTTGAGTTTAATCATTTTCATCAGAGGGGCTGAGATCTTGATGGAATATGTAGGGAGTGTTTTGGGGCCTGAAAGTTTGATGTATTCACCTGGCCTCACTGTTTCTCTATCCACTAGCTGACCTGAGTGGCTCGCGCGACTCCCTCACCACACGTGACTCAGGTGACTTTTGTCTCCAAATCTCCATGTTTCTCTATTGTTCCCCATTAGTATTTGCTTTTATGTACCCATAATTTCTCTGTCCCTCCTTCCTCCTATTTATCCTTTCAACTTCAAGCATAGCTAGTGTGTTTTGAAAGTTGCTTGCATCAGTTTTCAACATTTCAACAGCTTGAGAGAATACAACAATGTTATCTTTTGCTATCTGATTACTTCTTTAGCATTGCTATTTTAGATTTGTATATGAATTATTCATCTTGCAGTAACAACTTAAGAAAGTTGTGTTGAGGGTTATTATGTTTTGAGGTCTTTCCTTTCCAGTGTTGTAGTTCCAAAACAACACAGTGTTTCTTCTTCCCTTTGTTACCATTACTTATTTTGTTGATGCTTTCAGATGTTCATTCACTGTGTACTCTCTTGTGATGAATGTACATGTTACATTTGTACTCCATTCACACTGTACTCTCTTGTGATGAATGTGCATGTTACTCACACTGTGTACTCTCTTGTGATGAATGTGCATGTTACATTTGTACTCCATTCACACTGTGTACTCTCTTGTGATGAATGTGCATGTTACTCACACTGTGTACTCTCTTGTGATAATGTGCATGTTACTTTTGTACTCCATTCACACTGTGTACTCTCTTGTGATGAATGTGCATGTTACATTTGTACTCCATTCACACTGTGTACTTACTCTCTTGTGGAATCTTCAACCTGAAAGTTACTTTTTGTGCTCTATTTAATTAAAATAATCTTAAATCTGAAAGCTAATACCATATTGACATAGTTTTCTTGTGTAGGGATTTACTTTTGACATAGTTTATTATAGTGATTTGCTTGTAATAATAAGCTTTTATCCTTGTCGTAATAGATTACTGTACATTATTATATAACTCTTCCCTGTCCATTTATCCATCTTTTTTTTTAAATGCCCTTTTGGGCACGTGTTTTCGTGTTAAAATCTCACGAGTCTTTATAAAAATGCTTGAATAATACCCAGTCAAGCTTTTTTTTTTTTATTGTTGTTACAGTATGGCCGGTGTTTCTTGATCCCAAAAACTTTTTTGCTGAAATTAGATTTATTATAACATTGATGTTTAATATTTTATGTACCAACTCCACAAGTATGATGATATAGGTATGGTATGAATATGATGACATGGTATGATGGTATGAATATGATGACATGGGTATGATGGTATAAATTTATGATGACAGGGGTATGATGGTATGAATATGATGACATGGGTATGATGGTATGAATATGATGACATGGGTATGATGGTATGAATATGATGACATGGGTATGATGGTATGAATATAATGACATGAGTATAATATGAATATGATAACATGGGTATGATAATATGAATATGATGACATGGGTATGATGGTATGAATATGATGACATTGGTATGATAATGTGAATATGATGACATTGGTATGATGGTATGAATATGATGTCATTGGTATGATGGTATGAATATGATGGCATTGGTATGATAATGTGAATATGATGACATTGGTATGAATATGATGACATTGGTATGATGGTATGAATATGATGACATTGGTATGATAATGTGAATATGATGACATTGGTATGATAATGTGAATATGATGACATTGGTATGATAATGTGAATATGATGACATTAGTATGATGGTATGAATATGATGACATTGGTATGATAACATGAGTATGATGACATTGGTATGATAACATGAATATGATGACATGGGTATGATAATGTGAATATGATGACATTGGTATGATGGTATGAATATGATGACATTGGTATGATAACATGAATATAATGACATTGGTATGATAACATGAGTATGATGACATTGGTATGATTGTATGAATATGATGACATGGGTATGATAATGTGAATATGATGACATGGGTATGATAATGTGAATATGATGACATGGGTATGATAATGTGAATATGATGACATGGGTATGATGGTATATGATAACATGGGTATGATAATATGAATATAATGACATGGGTATGATAATATGAATATGATAACATGGGTGTGATATGAATATGATGACATGGGTATGATAATATGAATATGATGACATGGGTATGATAATATGAATATAATGACATGGGTATGATAATATGAATATGGTAACATGGGTATGATAATGTGAATATGGTAACATGGGTATGGTAATGTGAATATGATAACATGGGTATGATAATGTGAATATGATAACATGGGTATGATAATGTGAATATGATAACATGGGTTGATAATGTGAATATAAATAACATGGTATGATAATGTGAATATGATAACATGGGTATGATAATGTGAATATGGTAACATGGGTATGATAATGTGAATATGATAATGTGAATATGATAACATGGGTATGATGTGAATATGATAACATGGGTATGATAATGTGAATATGATAACATGGGTATGATGTGAATATGATAACATGGGTATGATAACGTGAATATAACATGGGTATGATAATGTGAATATGATAACATGGGTATGATGATGTGAATATGATGACATGGGTATGATGTGAATATGATAACATGGGTATGATGTGAATATGATAGCATGGGTATGATAATGTGAATATGATAACATGGGTATGATGTGAATATGATAACATGGGTATGATGTGAATATGATAACATGGGTATGATGATGTGAATATGATAACATGGGTATGATGATGTGAATATGATAACATGGGTATGATGATGTGAATATGATAACATGGGTATGATAATGTGAATATGATAACATGGGTATGATAATGTGAATATGATAACATGGGTATGATGGAATATGATAACAGGGGTTTATGATAATGTGAATATGATAACATGGGTATGATGATGTGAATTTGATAACATGGGTATTGATGGAATATGATACAGGGGTATGATAATGTGAATATGATAACATGGTATGATGTAAATATGATAACATGGGTATGATTGTAAATTTTGATAACATGGGTATGATTGTGAATATGATAACAGGGGTATGATGATGTGAATATGATAACAGGGGTTTATGATGATGTGAATATGATAACATGGGTATGATAATGTGAATATGATAACATGGGTATGATAATGTGAATATGATAACATGGGTATGATGTGAATATGATAACATGGGTATGATGTGAATATGATAACATGGGTATGATGTGAATATGATAACATGGGTATGATGTGAATATGATAACATGGGTATGATGATGTGAATATGATAACATGGGTATGATAATGTGAATATGATAAGATGGGTATGATGTGAATATGATAACATGGGTATGATAATGTGAATATGATAACATGGGTATGATAATGTGAATATGATAACATGGGTATGATGTGAATATGATAACATGGGTATGATGATGTGAATATGATAACATGGGTATGATGTGAATATGATAACGGGTATGAAAATTTGGAATATGATAACATGGGTATGATAATGTGAATATGATAACATGGGTATGATAATGTGAATATGATAACATGGGTATGATAATGTGAATATGATAAGATGGGTATGATGTGAATATGATAACATGGGTATGATAATGTGAATATGATAACATGGGTATGATAATGTGAATGTGATGACATCCTCTTGCTGCCTCCTCTCACTCTTTTCTTTTTAATTAAATATTTCGTACTTAACATCTTGTGTTATCTAAGTACGTATATGTTAAGTGCTCTTGTAATTTTCTGTGTTTTTTTAATACAAATATTGTAAGTATTTATTGTTCTATGCATTTATTTTTCCTTACATTCATTCCTTTGAAATTTGTTCTTCAGTTCAGCTATGAGGCTGTTAAGTTCCCCTAATTATGATCTAATGATTTGTATGTATTTCTCTATATTTTTGTAGAGACTTTTAATTGTACTGCCTTGGTTTATTAGTGTTTAATTTTGATGCTTTATTGTATATTTGTAAGGTTAGCTCTCTCTTTTCTCTCTCTCTCTCTCTCTCTTTCTCTTTTCTCGCTTGATTTCTCATTGATTCTTTCTCTCACTTGATTCTCTGTCTCACTTGATTCTCTCTTCTTGCTTGATTCTTCTCTTGCATGGTTCTCTCTCTTTCACTTGGTTCTCTCTCTTTTTGCTTGACTCTCTCTCTCACTTGGTTCTCTCCTCTTTTTGCTTGACTCTCTCTCTCACTTTGATTCTCTCTCTCTCTCAATTTTGTTTCTTGCTTCCCTCTGTGTGTGTGTATTAAAAATTGATTCATAAAGTGGAAGTGAAATATATCTCATTATGTTGATGTTAATAGTAATATTAGTTTAGTGAATGTGTTCTTGACTTATACGCTGAAGCTTTCTCAGGTAGATGAAGAATGTGATGTGCACTGGGTTTCTTATAACGTTAACTTAGGTCACTAGTTACTTTTCTCTGCTAGTGAAGATACTAGGAAACGTTTTCAGTGATGAAAATTATCAGCTTAGAAAAGTGTTTAAATTTTGATTGACTCTCTGGATGCTTTGCATTCTTGGTTTTTCAACAACTGCCATTGAGTTATGTATATTATTAATTTTTGCGTTATACTGGGGTGTGTGTGTGTGTGTGTCTGCATGTCTGTGTGTTTGTGTGTCTGTCTGTTTTATTTGCCATTATTTAATTTATGTTAGTACTAACATGAATTTCACAGGGTTTCATTTTTAATGATTTTTTTTTCTTGATTTATAAATGCATTCCCCCCACACGGGTTTTCTTAAACTTGTTTCATGTACTGTGAACTTTGAAGTACTTTATTATTATTTAATAAGGGTAAATGTATTAGGAAAAGTTTTTATTGAACATTGTTTTCAGTAATAATGACATGTTGAAAGGGACACATTACTAATTAGTATTAATATCATTTGTCATTGCCCTCAGGCTGGCAGGATGACAGCTTATGTTCTCGACGGTGGAGGACTATGGGGAGAGGGTTATGGTCCCCCAAGCCTTCACCACTGGCCGACGGGCTAAGTTTCCTCCTCCCCCGACCAAACACCGACCCAAGGGCAGCCAGACATCAAGGGGAGCACTTTTGAGAGAGGTTGAGAATGTTCTTCTTGTTTAAAAAAGTTTGGCTTTTACTATAATGTGGGATAGGATTGGGGATGCTAATTAAGGTTGTCTTGGTTTGTTTGAATTTATACTTTTGAAATTTGTATTATATTTTTTTTTTTTTTTTGCCCTTTTAGTTATTAAGTTGGGAACTAAAGCTGATGATTTGGTATTTGTTGGGCTACAGCATTCAAGGCAATGTTCAGTGTCTTAGGGTATGTATGAAAGTTTGATCATCAGTATGTACTACAAGGTTGATCAGCATTACTGCAGGTTTGATATAGTATGTCTGCAAGGTTTATGATAGTAATAAATATGAGGAGGCAGCATGTGCATGCTCAGTGAGACCTGTTTGCTGGAGGAGAGTTAAAAATTCTTTTCACCCTAAGTTTTAAAGAGTGATTTTGATAGGGCAGTGAATGTTTTGGGCTTAGTCGGTTGTGAACTCTCTGTCACAACTCATCTTTGTCTTTGTTTATCTCTCAAGTAAAATAAAAATGGAGATATGGTAGGTATAATCATATGTTCCAGGAGATTTTTTTAACTTGAAATGTTGATAATATGTGTGCATAATTTAAATAAGATGATTTAAAGTTAATCAGGTGTAAGTCTGTCCGTGTTGTGGTTACTTTTGTTTTCAACATTAAGTTCTTGGGTTTATGAGTCAGGACATTTGCTGGGGTTTAATATCTTTGTTTTAACATATATTAAGTTGGTTTCTGTGCTTTAAAAGTCAAATGTTGGGGTTTTTAATGGTGTTTGGGCTTTCCTTTTTAAGAAGGAATTGTTGCCCTCCTTTGTTCCAGCAGGATCTTGCTCTACAAATTTTTTTGTTTTTTATCTTTATTTAAATTTACTGGTCTGTTTCAGTTTCTGTGTTCATTTTGTACATAGAACTATTATATTTCAGAATTATATATGTATTCTTTTTTGGATCACCCTGCCTCGGGGGGAGACAGCCGATGTGTTGAAAGAAAGAATGTACAGGGGCCCCATGTTTTTGTAGGGTGCGGAAATCGAGCAATTTGGATTTCGAGCAAAATTTTTCGGCGAAATTTCCCCCCAAAGATTTCGAGCATCCACTCGGAAATCCTGCGTGTGAGACACGTCCGCCTGCACTTCTCCGCGTACCACACTCAATCTGCCACTGTCTTCATTGAGTTAGCAATACTCCGCATGTTCATCCATTTTTTTTGTGCTTGTTTATTGATTGTGACTGTGAAATAAGCCACCATGGGGCCAAAGAAAGTTCAGAGTGCCAGGCCCTCGATAAAGGTGATAAACACAATAGAATTGCTTCAAAGGAGGAGGAAGAGAGAGGGGAGAGGGGGCATTCTTCAGTGATTAAGGACATTTGTGCAAAGTGGAGTGAGGTGCAAAATTTTGTGGAGAAATATCAGCCTAACAAAGCTGTTGCAAGCCGTGTCAGCAACATATTCAGTGACAATGCTGTGTCCCATTTTAGGCAAATCTTAAAGAGACGCCAGAAACAGACCTCTCTGGGCAGATTTTTAGTGCAACAGGGGTCCAGTGCCAGTAAAAGACAAAGAAGGGAAGTAACCCCAGAGAGGATTTGATACCTGAAGTCCTTATGGAGGGGGATTCCCCTTCCAAACAGTATCAACTCCCTCTCCTCTCCTGCCTTCTTCAATACACCAACAAGAGTCTTCAGTAAAGGTATGTAATGTTCATTTATCATTAAAATTAGTGCTTTAGATTTATTTGTCATTGTTTTCTGTATGTAAAACTATAGTTATTCTTTAAAAATGAATTTTGTGTGAATTTTTGGATGTCTAATGGATTTTTTGGATTTACATATTTCTTAGGGGAAATTTTTAATTCTTTTTACCTTTTCAGTTTAAGTACAGCCTTCTGAATAGACTAAGCTAAATAATGGGGGTCGTTCCCTCCCTTGAAGCAATATTTCCCAATAAAAGAAAAAATGTAAATTAAATTAACCCATTCCAGACACGGAAAATATTAAAAAAATAATTTTATAGAGAAAAAACTATGTTTTAATACGAAAACAAGGGAAAAATAAATATAAATGATAATAAAATGGTAAATGAAAATTTAAATCACTTTTCCTTTTTTTAAAGTCTTGTTGGCGTTGGAAGGACAGGAGGGGGGGAGGGGGGGAGGAGGGTTATTGTTTGGAAGGGGAATCCCCGTCCATACGGAATTCGGGTATCAAGGCCCTATCCGGGGTTACTTCCCTTCTTTGTCTTTTACTGGCACTAGGACCAACTCGAGAGTCACTGCACCCCTTTCCAGAGAGGTGTGTTTTGGCATCTCTTTAAGATTTGCCTAAAATGGGACAATGCATTGTCATTGAATTATGTTACAGACATGGCTTGCAACAGCTTTGTTAGGGTGATATTTCTCCACAAAACTTTGCAACTCATTCCACTTTGCACACATGTCCTTAATCACTGAAGAAGGCACATTCTCCCTTCTCTTTCCTCCTCCTCTGAAGCAATTGCCTCAGCTGCAATCTGGTGCTGTTCCAGTTGCAGGTCTTCAGTGGTTAGCTCTTCCCTGTGGTCCTCCACCAACTCTTCCACATCCTGGCCACTCACATCCAACCCCATCGACTTTCCCAAAGACATAGTAGATTCCACAACAGGTGTAGGGTCATCAGGGTCAGCCTTAAATCCTTCAAAATCCTTCTCGAGGACACATTCTGGCCACAATTTCCTCCAAGCAAAGTTCATCGTCCTGGAAGTCACTACCTGCCAAGCTTTATCTATAAGGCTTATACAATTGAGGATATTGAAGTGATTTCTCCAGAACTCTCTTAGGGTCAATTCAGTGTCCGAGGACTCTTCAAAGCACCTTTGAAACAATGCTTGGTGTAGAGCTTTTTGAAATTTGAAATGATGTGCTGGTCAATGTGCTGGATGAGAGGAGTGATATTAGGGGGCAAGAACTTCACTGTGATGAAACTAAACCCCTCCAAAAATTTGGGTTTTCCCAAGCTGGGGGATGAGGGGAGCATTATCTTTACCAGGGGCATGAGGGGCTTTGTTTCCAGGGGTTTTTCTTCAACTGGCCAAATATTTCTTTGACCTACTCAATGAAAATTTCCTTCGTGACCCATGCTTTATTGTTAGCCTTCAGCACCACACACAATTTACTCGTGATGACATTGTTTTTCTTGAACACTCAGGGATTTTCACCTCTTCAAGGGGGGCTCCTTGGCGTGGTGAAGAGGCTCTTGGTCTGAGGAATTAGACCTGTCGGTCTCCTTCCTCAGACCGAACCTAATTACTCCCCAATCCCCCCTTCCCTATCCCATCCTCCCCATCCTCCCCTTTTCCCTTTCCTCCTCCCCCTCCCCACCCCTTCCTTTTGCCCTTCCTCTTTTTGGCCTTTGGGATTTTTCCCACAGGCACGCTAGTTCCTAGGTAGGGGAAAGGGTACTGGGGTCCATCCCATTCCATTGAGGTTCTTGGTGGTGGCGTAGTTTCCCGTGGAATCTGGATCGCCTGGGGATGTCCCGATCCCTCTCCGGTATCCCGGAGAGTGGCTTTGGGTGTCTTTCGGGCGATGGGTGTATCTCTGGAAGCCACCTTTCGGATTCCGGGGGTGGTGGCCGAAGGAGGTATGCTTTGTGGTGTATATCCGGCCGCCCTCTCTTTTGTCCACCGAGGTAGCTCGGCAGATGTGAGGTTGCTATCCCAGATTGCTGGTTACTGGCATGATGGGTAGGGTATGGCACGGGTTCCATGCTGCATCTATGCTACTTGCGGTGCTGAGGTCCTCTTGGGCGCGGAGGGAGATTTCTGGCCCTTTCATTCCTCCTGGGAACTATCCCTCCCCGGTCCCCCCTTTTTTTATTTTTTTTTTTATTTTTTTTATTATCACACTGGCCGATTCCCACCAAGGCAGGGTGGCCCGAAAAAGAAAAACTTTCACCATCATTCACTCCATCACTGTCTTGCCAGAAGGGTGCTTTACACTACAGTTTTTAAACTGCAACATTAACACCCCTCCTTCAGAGTGCAGGCACTGTACTTCCCATCTCCAGGACTCAAGTCCGGCCTGCCGGTTTCCCTAAATCCCTTCATAAATGTTACTTTGCTCACACTCCAACAGCGCGTCAAGTATTAAAAATCATTTGTCTCCATTCACTCCTATCAAACACGCTCACGCATGCCTGCTGGAAGTCCAAGCCCTCGCACACAAAACCTCCTTTACCCCTTCCTCCAACCTTTCCTAGGCCGACCCCCTACCCCGCCTTCCTTCCACTACAGACTGATACACTCTTGAAGTCATTCTCTTTCGCTCCATTCTCTCTACATGTCCGAACCACCTCAACAACCCTTCCTCAGCCCTCTGGACAACAGTTTTGGTAATCCCGCACCTCCTCCTAACTTCCAAACTACGAATTCTCTGCATTATATTCACACCACACATTGCCCTCAGACATGACAATCTCCACTGCCTCCAGCCTTCTCCTCGCTGCAACATTCATCACCCACGCTTCACACCCATATAGAGCGTTGGTAAAACTATACTCTCATACATTCCCTCTTTGCCCCCAAAGGACAAAGTTCTTTGTCTCCACAGACTCCTAAGTGCACCACTCCACTCTTTTTCCCTCATCAATTCTATGATTCACCTCATTTTCATAGACCCATCCGCTGACACGTCCACTCACCAAATATCTGAATACGTTCACCTCCTCCATTTCTCTCTCCTCCAATCTGATATCCAATCTTTCATCACCTAATCTTTTTGTTATCCTCATAACCTTACTCTTTCCTGTATTCACCTTTAATTTTCTTCTTTTGCACACCCTACCAAATTCATCCACCAATCTCTGCAACTTCTCTTCAGAATCTCCCAAGAGCACAGTGTCATCAGCAAAGAGCAGCTGTGAGTGACAACTCCCACTTTGTGTGTGATTCTTTATCTTTTAACTCCACGCCTCTTGCCAAGACCCTCGCATTTACTTCTCT